ATCAAATTATTTGATATTGTGTAGTCCCTCTGGTTTACATAAAGAAGAGAGGAGGATTGTGATTTTCACTTTCATTGGCAGAAATATCACATGTTCATGAATAGTATCAGAAACTTGGTTTGAATAATGTTCTACGGTTCCTGTGTCTCAGGTTATCCCAGAAGAGTCCATTACAAAGGTGAAATTTAATGATTATCTTTGTCTGTTTGATGCCAAACAATTAATGTAACTGAGCATTTGACTGAACTGACATAGATATTTAATGTCATTGTCATAGTCATAATCTCCTATCATGGCTTATCTATTAAGCATATAAAGATAAGTGATCTTCAAGCTTTCTGTCAACCACACATCTATGAACCCTGCAGTCCACTTCCAATTTTCATCTTTTCATAGGCATTACTTTTCTCAGATATTGAAAGACAGGAGGACGCAGTTAAGAAGAAGAGGGCTTTGCAGTTAGTGAGACCTGAGTAAAGCCATGACCTCTGGCTTCTCAAAGGGTAAATTTATGTTTTCTGAGGTTTCTAAGGATGGCACCAGTTTCCTAGGTTTCAAAGAGTTAGATAGCTTTTAGTCAACTAGGTTTCAGAGTATGGGCCTGCTATTAAAATGGGCTAACCTCCAAAGATTCAGGGGCATGTGCGTGGGGGCATATGAGGCAGTGAATTACGTAATGTAGCTTTGGTAGCATAGTGGATTACGTGTTGGTCGGCTAACTTAAAAGTCAGCAGTTCAAATCCACCAGCCACTATGGGAAAAAGATGAGGTTTTCTGTTCTTGTAAAGATTTATAGTTTCAGAAACCCTATGTAGAGTGGCTATGAGTTGGACAGCACAGAGCAGCAGCAGACCTGAGTTATTTACTGACTGTGTTACTTATTAGGTACATAACCTTACACAAACTACTTATTCTATTTGGAGCCCCAGTCGCCTCATATATCTCTCTCTCTCTACATATAATATATATATATATTATATATATAGCTATATCATGGAGTATAGCTATATCATGGAGTAGCTCCTATTTGGAGCCTCAGTCACTTCACCTCTCTCTCTCTGTCTATCGATCTATCTATATAGATAGATCGATAGATCGATAGATATAGATATAGATAGCTATATCATGGAGTAGCTCCAAAAATGTTAATTTTCATAATTAGCTATAACGTCTTTAAATGATAAAATCAAGGCAAAAAAAATCATTTTCAAGTGTTTTCTTACTTTTGTTCAATAGGGGAAAGAAATAATATCCAAAGAAATTTACAATGAATACATAGACTTTTATGGAAAATTACTATTCTTGTGAAATGATAGAGTGGAAATCTATAAAATTTTCCATCAAATGGTAAAGGGTTCTACAACCTGTCACAATTCAGTCTTAATTAATAAAAATTGTAAATATCCAATTATGGCAAATATTAAAGCAATAAATCTTACTGTTCCCAGAGGAGCCAACTCTCATAGTTATTTGTGGGTTGCTGTTAAATGCCATCAAATTAGTTCTGATCCACAGCAACCTGTATACCATTTCCGAGGAGCAACTGGTGAGCTTGAACCGCCAACCTTATGATTCAAAGCGACTTTGCATCCCAGCACATTTACCCACAGCACCACAATTCTGACTCATAGAGACCCTGTATATGGTTTCTGAAGAGTGACTGGTGGGTTTGAATTGCCAGCCTTACAGTCTACAGTCCAGTGTGTATCCTATAGCTCCACTCCAGGACTCTGAGAAGTATTAAAGTATTATTGGTTGTTGTTGTGAAGTGCCGTCAAGTCAGTTCCAGCCCATAGCAACCCTGTATAGGGTTTCCAAGGAGCAGCTGGTGAGCTCGAACCATCAACCTTGAAGTTTAAATGGCTTTGAAGTTTGGTGCATTAACCCACAGCACCAAGTACTAAAATTACTTCATAAAGGTCTCACTTTCCAGAAGCTAACAGAACAGGTCTTCTAGATGCCCAGACAATAGTTAAATGCTCATGAAAGGGAAGCTCTTGCTTTATGTAATTTTATTTTCCAGTGTGATGAGAAAACCCATAATTAATTTGGTGTCATTGGGAATTATTGAAGCTCTTTACTGCCCAAGGGTTCATCTCCAAGATGGCTCTATGTTATTTTTGCTAAGAGCCACTGAGTGAGTTTCAACTCGTAGAAACACTGTATAGGATTTCTGAGATAGGATTTCTGAGGAGTGTCTGGTGGGTTTGAACTGCTGACCTTACCATTAGCAGTCCAGTGCTTATTGTACAGGGCCACATCAGGACTTTAGCTTATTATTGTTGTTGAGTACTGTGGAGTCAGTTCCAACTCCTTAGTGATCCTAAATAGGATCTCTGAGGCTTTTCAAATCTTTAGGGGAACAGAAAACCTCACCTTCTGAGGAGTGACTGGTGGACTTGTACTGCCAAGTGCTTATCCTATGGAGCCACCATGTTCCTGGACTCAATCTAGTTCCCCCAGAAAAGAACCCTAAGTTAGTTGTCATAGAATCAATTCCAATTTACAGGAACTCTATGTGTGTGAGAGTAGAACTATG